CCTTTTATACAAAAATTGTTAGTTGATTTACATATATACGTACCACCTCTTCTTCAAACTGTAGTTCAGCATGTAGTCTAGCGATGAAGTCTTCATACGCCTCAGTGGTGAACAAAGGCAGACGCACTGGTGATGCCTTGGGGTGGACAAACACCGTGGGCTGCTGAAGGACACCAAAATTTTTGACAACAATCTCCTTCAGTTGGTGCATCTTATTTAGCGACACAACCATCTGCTGGGCCACGGAGTCCATTCTCCTACTAATTGAAGGCCAACTTGAAGGAGTAATGGTTTGCCGTATAGCAGCTAGTCCAGCTTGCGTAGACTTCGACAACTCCATTTTGTCCATTGGCAGTCTGAACTAAGAGTTGACAGTTCGACCATCGATTTCCATTATGCCAACCGTGTGCCGCACAGCTGCAGCAGCGGTGGGAGCAGGGACGGTGACTTGCGCAGGGGTTTATAGTGCCGGTAGACTTGCGCTGCATCTACCTGCACTCTCTCCTCCTCCCTCGCCCGAGCCCGGTGTCAAGACAGAGTCAAGAAGACCGGAGACGAGGGAGGCCGCAGGTGGATGGCTCGGACGGATGCTCACCTTGGCGTTCCACCACACCCCCTGGTCCACACAACAAATAACCAGGATTTCAACCAACACAACCAAGATTGGAGGCTTACACGCCGACGCCTGGCTCGGATCCCACACTGTGGTGGGAGTGCCATAAAGGCCACATTAAGAAGGAGCCATTGCAGCCTGACTCTCAGACCGCCTCCAGTCAAGGAGGAGGTCCAAGTTACCCCGTCAGTTGGCAACCTTCCAAGCCACGGCTTTTAGCGCACCGTGATAGCTTCAAGTGCGTCAGATTGCTTATAGTGAGGAGGAAATGCGCTGAGTCGTCGACCTCACTCTCCCTTCCCATTCCCACACCGCAGCCGCTGTCCGAGCCGGTCAGCAGACTGGAGTGGGAAATGGGCGCGGAGGCTGTCATGATCGGCTGACCATGACTGCGCGCGCCACGAGCACGACCTGGCTCCCCATACGCACAAACGCCAGGATTTCACACAACGTGAGTTGAACGGCGTGTCTCTCACTTGCGTGAGAGTGCCGTGAAAGGTGCTGTTTCAGCCCGTCGCCCAGCCCACCATTCCGCCACTCCACACAACGCGACGAACTGCGTGGACCGAGTGGGGGCGTCAATCAGTAACCTTCCTGTCCACGACGCTTGACGTGCCGGGACAGTCTCAGACTCAAGTCACCCGTGCAGCCGAAGCCGCATGGGGACCGAGTCGAGATGCACACTTCCCACTTGCGTGGGAGGTGACAGTTGAGTGCATGAGGTATGTGAGTGTTGATTTCTGGTGGGGTGGTGATGGTGGTGGTGGTGGTGGTGGTGGTGGTGGTGGAGGCAGGGAGGGAGGGAGGGAGGATGTTGTGGTGTGGTGTAGCCGGCGGTTGTCTACCGCAGGTCGTCGTGGATGCGCATGTGGCCGAGTAGGCCCATGCGATGCGTTTCACTTTGGCAGCGGCGATTCGGTTGGTCTCATAGATCGCAGCGCCTGTCTTCACTTTCCTCCTCCAGGTCGGTCGGTCGAGGGCGAGCTCCTCCCAGTTGGTCGAGTTAATTTGCAGATGCTTCAGGGAGGACTTAAGAGTATCCTTGTATCAACGAATTTGGCCTCCTTGGCGGCGAGAGACCGTGGCGACGTCTCCGTAGAAGAGTCGTTTGGACAGTCGCTCGTCGTCCATGCGCGTGATTGAAAGTGCATCCGCCGTTGATTCAGAAGGTGACCGTCCGTCCTGTAGGCGATGCGGATCCCAGGGTGTTCGTCACGGTTGGCGTCCATCAACATGGCAGAAAACATAAGACTGAAGAGGGTGGGCGCCAGCACGCATCCCTGCTTCACTCCGTTGGTCACTGCGAATGCCTCTGAGACAGCTCCGTTATCCGTGACTCTCGCCATCATGCCGTCATGCAGCTGACGCTCCAGCTGAATGAATCGCTCCAGACAGCCGAATTTCTGCATGATTTTCCACAGTCCTTCACGATTCACTGTGTCGAAGGCTTTCGTCAGGTTCACGAAGGTAGAGTACAGGTGGGTCCGCATCTCCTGGCACTTCTCCTGTAGTTGACGGGCGGCAAACATCATATCCGTGAATCTGCGATGACGACGGAAGCCGCATTGGCTTTTCGGCAGAAGGCCCTGTTCCAGATGGTTATTCAGGCGGTTGAGAAGGATGCGAGCGAAGATCTTCCCGGCGATTTTCAGCAAGGAGATGCCGCGGTGATTGTCGCGGACTTGGCGTTCCCCTTTCGCTTGTAGAGATGCACGATGATTGCGTCTTTGAAATCTTGTGGGATTTCACCCTGGCGCCACATCTCCTGGAAGAGCGCAGTCAGGTGATCCATTAGTTAGGGACCTCCGTGCTTATTGACCTCAGAAGGGATTGCGTCCGAACCGGGTGCTTTCCCACTGGAGAGCTGCGGCACGGCCCTGATGGTTTCCTGGAGGGATGGCGGGAGGTCGAGGTCCACGTTGGTCTCTACTTGCGGCAAACGGTCGATGGCGGCGTCGGAGATGGTGGAGGGGCGGTTGAGGACGCCTCGAAAATTATCGGCCCATCTCTGTATAATTTGTGTCTTCTCAGTCAGGAGAGTGCTACCTTCGGCGTTGAGGAGAGGAGCAGTGCCTTTCGTCGGCGGACCGTAGACAGCTTTGATTGCGGAGAAGAAGTTCTTCCATTCGTTGCGGTCCGCGTAGCCTTGGATCTCCTCAGCTTTGCGAGCAGTCCAGGCGTCATGCATCTCGCGCAGTCGTTGCTGAAGCTGGCGGCGACTGCGGCAAAAGGCAGCTCTGTTGTCGTCAGTGGGGTGGTCTACGTAGGCTTCTTAGGCTACTCTTCTCGGCGAGCAGATTGCTGATGACGACGTCGTTGTCGTCGAACCAGTCCTGGTGTTGGCGGGGAGCGCAACCGAGGACGGCGAGCGCCGTCGACTGGACCGTGTCTCGCAGTTGACACCAGCGGTTCTCCACGGAGGCGTTCTCGGCGGCGGCAGCGATTGGACGGTTGTCTAGCCGTTGAGCTAGCTCATTGTTGCAATGGAGATGGTGAGCGGGCAAAGACAACATAGTAACATTCAGCTTACCTGGGGGTCGCTTACCTTGTGGTCTCCTGCGAGGCTGTAGGCGAATACGCATCTTTGAGATGACAAGGCGATGGTTGGTCCACCCGTCAGCGCCCGCGATCGCCTTTGTCACCAGCACGCCCCGCTGATCTCGCCTCCGGACGAGGACATAGTCCAGCAGGTGCTATTGACGCGACCGAGGATGCCTCCAGGTGGCCTTCTCTCGCTCCGGCGGACAAAAGAAGGTGTTCGTCAGGATGAGGCGGTGTTCTGCGCAGGTGCGGAGAAGCAGCAGACCATTGTCGTTGGAGCCGCGGAGACCGTGGGGACTGAGCACTCCTCTCCAGGCAGTATGGTCTGTGCCGGCGCGGGCGTTGAAGTCACCAAGGACAATCAACTTGTCCGCCTTCGACACAGTCGCCAAGAGGGCGTGCAGGTCCTCGTAGAATTTGTCTCTGACGGCGTCGGGGTTGGTCATCGTCGGAGCGTAGGCGCTGATGATGGTGGCGAATTTGTCTCCCCAGAGAGGCAGGAGGATGCTCATCAGGCGATCGTTTATGCCCTTTGGCAAGCAGGGCAGTCGTCCCACGATGTCTTTAAATGGCGAAGGCGACACCCGCGTCTTGTCGCTCTGCCCTGGGCCGACCACTCCAGAAGAAGGTGTAGCCGGCACCCATCTCCTCCAGTTGGCCTTGTTCGGAGAATCGAGTCTCACTGAGTGCGGCGATGTCCACCTTGTTGCGCGCCAGTTTTCGTGCCACTAGCGCCGTCCTCCGTTCCGGTCGGTTGCTCCTCGGATTGTCTAAAAGGGAACGAACATTCCAGGCTGCCAGAGTGAGCGGGCTCAACCTGCCAGTCTGGTGACCACGGGTGGGGCGACGGGAAGGAGGTGGGGAAGAAGATGGCGAAGGAGAAGATTAGGCAGACGAATGCGCAGAGGAAGAGGAAGAAGAGGTAGGATGAGGAGAATGAGTATGGTTGTTGTTGTTATTGGTATTGTTGTTGTTTCGATTTTGATTGTTTCGACCGTGAGTTTTGCGTCTGCGACCACGGTACGCCTGCAGACGACGTGGTTTCCCAGCAATTTTTAGGCCAGCTTTTCCAGGCCCCCTCCGAAGAGAGACAGTGCCCGATCCCTGAATAGGGCTGCTTGATGTGCCTGCGCGGCCGAACTCCACTGTGGGCCGCGAGTTTGTTTGCCAGTGGAAGAACGACTGGAATTTGCCAATGGCTTACGGCATTGCCGTAAGCCTGCGGTCTCCTACGGTGCATCAGATGGGCGCGAGTCCGCGATGTCGATTCGAAGATCCATCCCACCGGCTGATCAACGGCGTATCAGGCGGAGCCTCGTCTCGACGATGCCGATGCGATGTTCCACCAACCGGCTGACCGACAGCGTAGACGAAACCTCTTCTCGGCGGCGCCGACACGGTGTTCCATCCGACCAACCGTCCAGCGGAGTCCGCAGTACCCTGTGCGCGTGGAACAACGCGCACCGGGAGTAACCGCCCTCACCTGTTTTAGCCAGCCGGTCGAGGCGGTTGCCCGGAGTGTGGCCGCTGAGCAGAGCCCAGCTACGTGGAGCCACAGGTGACAGTTTGGTGACAGCAAATGGACGATAGGCGTAGTCTCATCTGCAAGCAAATGAGCGACCACTACGACCGTCACGTGAACCCACCGCTGACACCCCTACACCCCGAAGTAAGCGTTAGATAGAACTTGTTTACTGGTGTGTAGCCAATGCCGAAACCGTGAGAGGTCTGCTGCCTGCGTCCGAAGAATGAGGTATTTTTTCGTTGGCTATGTATCTACTACTTGTTAGAAGTAGTGGTTCTTAATGAGGTGTGGTGACGGTGTGGGTCAGCCAGACAGTTGACTTTCTGACTGCCTTGGACGATTGTTTGTATCGTCGTCGTCGTTAGATGTCAGCTGGCAGGCATACATACTGGAAAATATAAATTGTATGGTGCACCTACTTTCTCCTGAAGCCTCTCCCAATTGCTCGGACCATGTACTGTCGGACACGTCCGTAGAAAAACAAACCGCTTATGTGAAATAGCTGTCGATCCGGGGGGGTAACTGTAAAGACCATGGGACTCCTTCATCTTCGTCCAACAACATGAAAGGTGTTGACAACTCGGGCAGACGTCTCCCACTGTAGTCCATATACCTGTGCGGCGACGTTAGTTGGTCCTTTTATGCAGTTACGAACGTTTTACAAAAAAGGATTCATACGGAAATGCAGAAAACCGGTCCAAAACTTCAAACCGACTGACATCGTCGGGTAAGTGCAGAAGGGCATGGGCACTGTAAACAACAGCGGCATCATTGTATAAAATTGGAAAATCAGAAACAAAATTATTTACCCTGTCGACAATAAGACTGATCATTTTCCTTGTAAATGTACAGGCCTGATGAGGAATTACCGAAAACATATGTTAGCCAATTGACTTTGCAATCGTAATGTGGGAATTTTCTTAGAACAAAATTATTCACTGAAACCTGCGCGCCAAGTACGCAAGGTTGGATGACAGAATACATAAATAGCAAAGCCTGGAAGCAAAAAATAATAAAAACAGGTGTCATCGAGAAACGGAGGCAAAACAATAGGACCCATATACAGTAAAATTTGCCGGTATTCGGCGGCCTTCCAATATTCAAGACAGTCAAGATGTCTACATTTGCGTAAAAATTAAGCAGACAAACATTACCTACATGCATTGATGGTGGCGTTCAGTTTGGCGGAGGACATGTTGGTTCCCAGTCGTCACTAATGCAATGATTTCCGCGTGACACTCAGGTAGACAAGGTGCATATAATCGATTGGAAACGAGGCAACTATATCAACGGGCAAATATTCGAACGGTGATATACCCTTTTGATGTGGCGCCTGACTTCGCAATCTAAATGACCAATTGTCCCGCAAGTGCTCAATATAAGTTGGAAATACCATGAGGGTGGCAATGGGCCTGCACTTGTGGCAGCACCTAAAGAAGTTTCTGTTACTTTTACGAAAGAACATACCTGTCGCATCCGTAACAGCCATTATGGGCTTTCATTTGCCTGCCGTAAGACCGGGCAGGCGTGTCGCAGATGACATTCTCGAGTACTAATTTGACGAAATTATCGCTTGGTGGAAGATGCAGACCACTAGTTCGATTCAGACGCACAGTCCTCCAAGAAATCCTCCAATTCCTCGGGCTTGCCAGAACCGGAGAAAACGCCGACAGCGAAAAATTGGCCAACAACCGGACGGCTAATACGACTACATATAGGTCACAGGCGTCGACCGGAATTTTTAAAAATTTTCATTTTGCAAACGGGCAAGTGAACGCAAATCTCCAGAATTCTAGATGGCGGCCGACGGCACAGTTCGTCGAGAATACCTCCCCAGGGCCTAAATGGACATACCACCTGTTTCTCAGGCGCTTACTAATGCATGGTCAAGGGGTTTGCAATAGCTTCCGCAGGCCCTTGGGTACGTCTGGATGGTAGGGCTGTAACCTGCTAAACAGCTTCTTCATTACGGAAAGTAACAGTTGCACGTCAAGGCAGAATTCTCGAAAATCCGCCAGAAGACAATTGACTCTCACTGGGTTTGTGCTAACCGCCTCCTCAGGTGCCTCTACTTCTGGACTTAAAATAGGCATTTGTCTTTCAGGCGAATCATCTACTACCGCATATGATGCCGATGGGACAGAGCACTCAGGTTCATCAACGGCGACATAGTATGCCTGCATGTCCCGCTTAATGCGCTTATAGGTAGTGCTCCGAAGTAGTTATGCCACACATTTATTTTCCATGGACAACAGAAAAGTACTGTATAATGGTTTTACGTAAAACATAGACTTGTAGACTTTCTCCAATTACCATTCAGCTATCAAGCCTAACTAACATCCTAGAACTCTAAAATAAAATAGTAATCACAATAATCAGATTGCAGTAACATAAAGGACATCGGAAGGATTTGGTTTTACGTAACCCCTGTTGCAACAACCGTTTTAAATGAAAAGGACGTCGAAGGACGATGTTCACCAAGCAGCTTACTCAGCAGATTAGTGCATTACATGTGCTCCACTCAAACAAAGCCCCCTTTCAAATAATCGATGGGAGGACCATTCGAGAAGAATTCTACAACTAATATATAGGTTAGTGATTATTTATCTAAGTCTAATGAGCTTATTTTTGCGGTAAAGTAGACTTCTACATGCAGTACATTACTTCTCTTTAATTCATGAGAAATGCATTTAATCATGGGGATATGCCCATACCAACCTCCTAAAGGCCCTACATATTGAGGGGGACACGTGCTGGCATGGCGGATTGTAGTTCCGCACTTTCAAAAACCACATGCTGTAAAATGTATGTGTTATTGACATCATTCAACAACACAGTTGTTTAAAGTTAGATAGTAAATGCACAGTTCTCAACAAGCTATTTAAGGTCATTGTCTATTCTCCTTAAATGTACTGAACTAAGTATAACTGGCCGCGACAAATCCGTTTAGGAATGCGGAGTCTGTCGAACATTTTAGTGTTTTTATATTGGGGTCTTCTCGTAAAACCTCGAACAGCTATGGGAATAACTGGGAAGGATCGAAAAAGCTTTGATAAACGAAAAAGGTTGCTACCAGACAAAGGCGCAAAAAGGCGAACCACAATAGAATAAAACAAAATAGTCTGAAGTCCAATTTGCGGATTTTCGCAAGAAAAGTCAAACAGTCTTTTTGAAAGTGTTTAGACGTCTGCAAAGATGGTGGGAAAATATTCCCTAAGCCGAAAATTCGTCAGCACTGTGGTTCTAGGCTGGTTCACGTAGGTCCAACTACGTTGTTTTGTAGCATCAAAACGAGTATGCGCGCGCCATCGCTGAAGTAGCTTTCTGACCCGTGGCCCTGCTCATCGCCGGGGCATGGATGACTGGGGTACGTCCTACAGACTTCTTACTTTGGTTTTTCCTAGACGAAGAAGACGTTGCTGTTAAAGCGGTTCCTTCTACATGGGATGATGACGCGAATGACGTTCCAGTAAGCCCTTTTCCAGTTCAATTTATGTCAAGGATACTTGGGATGTAGTGGCAACAGAGCCGAAAAAGGAGGCTGAACCACAAAAAACTGACACTACCCATAAAGTGTCAAAAAAGAACACAAAAAAGGAAAAGAAAGCACCCGCAAAACTGGAGATTTCGCCACAGGAAGCGAAGGACGAGGAAGAAACGGCTCCGAGAGAGCTCACAGAAAAAGAGCGCGAACGCCTGGCGGAGGAGGCCGAACTCGATCTGATCGTGGATTCCTTCGGCGGTGGATTGCAGGTAGCAACGTCACAACAGGATGACGTGAGGTTAGGCAACCCAAAGACTGAGAACGAATTTGTCACCTTGGCAAGCAAGCTGTCGGAGAGAATTCGGAGCTTCGAAGTATCGTCACAGTTTTCATCATACCCCTTTAGACTTCTCCACACTATTCCAAATTCTTCGAAGGTATAATCCGTCAAATATCTCTCGAGGGTAATCTCCTTATTCTACATAACAGCCTTTAGTCGACCTCGACACGCTTAAAGACGTCTCGACTTTCATCGACGCGCTGATAGTCGAAAAGCAGAAACTTGCAAAGGTAAGTTTTGTCTTCAAACGTTGTCACCTTTGTGTTGTTCTTGTGTCTACTTCGTTGCTTGGGGTGTGCTGTTGGTTGCCGCTTCAGTTATTGTCGGACAATTAGTAAATCAAAACCTAGTTATCCCGCCGTCTTATCGGTTTTGTTTGGGAAGTTCTGTCGCTTTGTTCTACGGGCGGTTGTACCTGTACATGATGGAACTTCCGTATCCACGGAACCGGCTAACGGACTCATTGCAGGAAACAAGTTTAATGGAAGCGCAGTCGTCCGTGAGGACCGTTCTTCCCACCCGAGACTGTAAAGATCGGCTTTATGATCCTCTGGTAGTTAAGTTCTATTCCCCGCTTGTCCGCTGATCTCTCTGCTCTGTCGGTTTGTATTACCGTCGTCTAAATTGTAGGCTTTTAAAGACTCGGTTGCGCTGCAGTGCACCTTTTCCAACAATAGTTTAGTGGTCTACTACTTCAACTACAAATTGCGTCGTGTTCTTACGTCGTCCTCAGTTGGCAGTAGTCCAGTCCCGTACTTCGTGTGAATCAGCCTTGGCAAGGACTCGGGTCTTGACCGACTGCCTTCTCTGGTTTTCGAAATTCAAGTCCGCGCCGTCGCCGGCACCTTCAGTTTACGAGCTTGATGTGTTCTAGTGTTTGGAGCCGCAGACTGAACCAATGTCCAGTCGTCGGTGGGCACAGAATGAGGAACGTGGGGTATGTTGGCGGGAAGGGGGTCGAAAGCTATTGTTGCATTTTTCAATAGTGGAATTTTCAAAAGACCGCTACTGGCCGCCTGGATGTTCGTGCAAATGGGGTGGATATGTTGTGGAGTGTTACTTCTCGGCAGGATCGACACTACGCCCATTCCTACTAGGCTTTCAATTGTCTAGACCGTGCACTTATCTGATCGGCTTGTGTTAGGAAAACTCGATGAGAAAAACTTGTCCAGCATGTCAAATGTACGGCTCAGTCAGACGAAGCCACCAAGTTTAGTTTGATTAAAAAACACAGGCCAGTAGGATTATTTTGTTAGTAATCCCACCTGCCACTGATACTTTTACGCTCTTCCCTACCAACACGTAGGCAAGCACATCTAGTTTTTATATCTGCGGCACTTAAACTCTGGAACCTCGGACCTGTAGGATATAATTGCTTAAACTTGAATCTGCGTCCATCCTCTCATTTTGACAAGATACGAAATTCGACATGGGCCACTAGCTCTTTTGATTGCAACATGCTCGTATGTCTATAAGGATTACAAGACGCTACGACTGAGAGCTTATATTGTCTCCAACGGCTTCTCCCTGACGGTCAGATACGGAGGCGCTCCAACACACTCGCAGACCGAGTATGTTTCGGAGCTCCAACTGCATGTCACGTTAATCTTCCCTAAGTAAATTTAAGTCGGTCACCTTGTTATCCGTATTGGGTTTCATTGTGCCACCTGAATGTACCTCCTTCAGAGGGAGTAAACAGGGAAAGCGTTGAAATATGGTTAGTCATGGTTAATCGGGCTGTATTGCTGTGTAGTCTGTTGTCCAAATTACTCAAAGTTCATAAAACGCCAATATTCGTGCGGCCGTTTCGAATAGAGTCGGCATTGTCCACTAGGTTTGTCATTCTCGCCACACTTCTAGCATATTGGTGGCCCTCAGTGATCTGCAATTTTTTGTCGAATTTGCCCACAGTCGTTATGTTGAACCGAACATGCAAAACTATTATGTTTACAATTACTCTTGACTTTTGTTGTGGTTCCGCTCCCACTGCACTAGCCGTTTCTTAAAAATAATCATACCCATTAATGCGCTCTTGTCGGCATAATACAGGACAGAATGTCTGCACTTTATAACTTGAAACATCACCACTTAATGCCTACCGCAACAGCTGACGCCTTCCGTTCCATTTCCGAGTATGTTTGAGCAGTACGGACAAGTTGTATGGTCCGATAGTGGTACATAATGGTTCGACCATCGGCTTCGACGATGTCCACCGTGTGCTCCACTGCAAGGCAAAGCAGGGCGGCGACTTTCGCGTGATTTAGTTTATAATGAATGTAGACTTGTGCAGCATCTACCGCACTCTCCTCCCCACCTGGACCCGGTGCCAAGACAAAGTCAAGAAGGCCGGAGACGGGGGAGGGCGCAAGTGGATGGCACGACCGAAACCGCGTCTAGGCGTGCCGCCCACATCCGGCTCGGATTCCACGGAGTGGGAGTGCCATAAAGGCCACATTAAGGAGCCATTGCAGCGTGACTCTCAGATCACCAGCCGGCCACTCCACGCAAACACACACCACACTGGGCCGACTTAGAGATCCAAGTTATCCCGTTAGTTGTCAGCCTTCCAATTCACGGCTTTTAGCTCACCATGATAACTTCAAGCGCATCAGATTGTTTACAGTTAAGAAAATGCGCTGAGTCGTTGACCTCACTCTCCCCATTCCCATGCCTCGGCTACTGTTCGAGCCTGTCAGTTGACTGGAGCGGGGAATGGGCGCGGTGGTTGACACAGTGGTAACCATGTCTGCGCGCGCCATATGCACGACCTGGCTCCCCAAACACAAGCACCAGGATTTCATGCAATGGGGATTGAGTGGCGTACCTCTCACATGCGTGAGAGTGCCGTTGGTCACGTTTATAAGGGGCTGTTTCTGCCTGGCTCTTAGCCCATCAGTCCGCCACTCTAAATGAACACACTCAACTGGGCGGACTGCGTGGACTGAGTTGGGGCGTCAGTCTGCAGCCTTCCAGCCACGGCACCTGACGCACCGGGGTGGTCTCAGGCTCGAGTCACTCATGCAACAGAAGTGGCGTGGAGACCGAGTCGAGACGCACACTTCCCACCTGCACAGGTGACAATTGGATGCTTGCGGTAGGTGATGTTGGTGTGCGAGGAGATGGTGGCGAGGTAGGGTGTGATGATGTGGTGCAGCCGGCAGTTGTCTACCGCAGGTCTTCATGGATGCGCATGTGGCCGAATAGGCCCATGCGGTGCATGAATGTGCGAGGGCAGTCTGGACAATGGAGGCTGGTGCTCCAGACACTGGTTCACCAGTCTCTGTGCGATGGATTCGCAAGTGACCGACCAAGCCGATGTGTGAGGTGAAGGTGCGGTCGCAGTGAGGAGAGGTATAATCCAGGTCCTCACCACTGGTGTCGACGGTGGTGGTGTTGGTGTTTGTCGCCGTGTCAGGATTATGAGTGATGATGTGCATGGCAGACGTCGGTCATGACAGACCATCATAATTGCAGTGGGGTGTCTGACCTGTCGGCTGTCTGCCAGGTATGCTTGCTTTCCTCCATCCCTACAATTGTGGTTGTCGTCCTCTTGTGTGCGTAAAGAACAGCGACGGGTTTGGAAGTTGCCAGTTAATACCGGGGTGACAGTGTACAAGGTTGTGCTGTCAGCGTGTGCATGTGTGCACAAATGCTCCTTGTGTGTGTGTGTGCTAGGCGTAAGACACGAGGTCGCATATGCTCGTATGAATGAATGCGGTCTCGACGCCCCACCATGTGTAAAGGACCGTCCGGGTTAACATGACCAAGCAGTCAGCATTATAGGTGTGTAATAATTCATAGTTTGTTTATTTCCAGTGTTCAGAGCTGTGCTTCTCGCCATGCGCCCATGAATTGTATCCTACTGATATTTCGAGATAACTAGCACCTGTTATATTGGAGTCCACATGACCCACCCTACTAGCTAACTCTTCTGACTCGGTCCCTAGCACTGATCCACTATCACGCAACCCATATGCTCCCAAGGAATATGAATTGGCGGCTTCACCAACCTCTGAACCCTTCTCGTTTTCGTTGTTAGGGCACACCCCGGCGTTAGGCTCTACGCACTCCCTGTATGATCGGTTCTCCTGTCCCATCGCGCTTTAAATCGTGGATTTCATGCCTGTTTTGGACAGCGATGCTTTTGATCTGTCCCACTGGGAGTGGCAATTTTGTCAGCTTATGTCAAATCTTGAACCCTGTTTACGGGAGTAATTGTGGACTGCGGAGCCACGCTAACTACTCTCGTGTAAAATCAATCGAGACCAGACTCCCGAGCGGCGCCAAAGCCATTACTCTCATCTAGCCGCCCAAACCCGTCGTTTTGACTGGTCCCATATGGATGAGGGAGGTGTGCTAGACACTGCGTAAGTCCACTACCGCTATAAACTAGTCACCGTCCCTGCGCCCTCCATACTATGAGGTACACCTGTCACCCATCTAGCAGTGTCCACGTGGAAAAGGAAGTCGACAGCCCTCTTAAGTGTAGTCCGTACCCAAAAGTACACTTGTTTTTACTTTCAGGATAGAAAATAGTCTTCCTACGCCCACGCAGTGTAGGATCATCACCAATTGTAAGGCTGCATGCTCGACGACTCCTGAGCCTCATTGAAAAGCTTGCCGTCCGAATATCTGTGTTCGTTGGACTTTTTACTGCTTCTGCTTCAGCCCGCTTCTTATAAAATTCCGCGTAACACTCGTTTCTTTTCAGGGGAAGACCAAAAAGAAGGCTGGAAAGACGGCGAAACTCATCGTAGAACGGAAGAACGACTACGACTACGATATGGGCGGTGACGACGACTTTGGCGACTTTATATAACTGGAGTGGATCCCCTCTGTACAGATAACTCCACCCACCAGTTCGTCCCCGTATGATGAGCGGCGCCTTACTGGGATGAACCGGACTTAATTTTTTGCAACCAAATGCGCAGACGCCTTCTGACACGAATACAAACATGATCAACATTTATTTGGGATATGTACACTGAAGTGATTGAAAGCGTCTTCTTCACTGCTTGAAATCCAGGGAATTCCTCGAAATAGCTGAAAAGGAAAATGGTTAGTATTTGATTCTCGGATGAAGGGAGGAGGCGAATCCAGTAGGTAAATGGTCCGGCAGTTGTAATGCAAACTTGCGGATTTTCATCGACTTGGGGTCCCAAATAGGGCTTTGTTTCTGTATGGCTAAAGCGATGTACGTGCAGGTGCGAAGATAAATTAGGTTACCGCTCCTTCCATCATTGCAATTAACCGAGTTTTTACATAGTGCCAGTAATCATTAACCGCTGCTTAGCACGGCACCGACCTCACCACGCACCACTCTGGTGTTCCCACGCCGATCAGAGCGAGATCTGGTTAGGTAGCTAGCGCACGCTCTAGCCGACGAAGTTTGCTGAAGCATGTTGACTTGGCAGTGGCCTGTTAGTAGGCGCGACTGGGCTGGTGGGCTCGTAAGTCGCCCGCTGACAGGCAGCTGGCGCATTTTCTCGATCCACATATCTGCCAAAGCCTTGTGGGTGACCCCGCCGGACCCAAATGGACTACTGGGCATGGTTGAGTCAACTTGCCTTCTCTGTAGGATGGGTTGGGGCTGTCTTGGGGGTCTGTCATATGCCTGGACGGATGTGTTGCCTGCCTTCAATAAGTAACCTGTCACTAGTAATCCCTCACTGTGCAGTCCTGCTTACGGTCCCACATCCGACAATGGAACGGCGCATCTGACTCAGCTAGGAATAGCGACCGCCGGTCCCGTTTTGTAAAATGAGAGCACACAGGAATTAGAGCGTAACAGATCGGTCTGTGGGGTGTCTGCAAATTTGCAGAACTCGTGACCAGTATAGAAGCTCTACCTTGCCGGTTATGGGCCGTGGCTTTCAGAAGAACCGCGGTCATGCCGCAGCGGTCGTTCTTCTCTGCTACGGTTATCAGTTGCATCCCACCGGCAATGCCAGACAGCCACAGAAGTTGCTAAAGAATATGACAATGTTGACTCTAGGGGAATAATGCACGGTTAATGCTCACCCGAGACCGTGCAGAGAACCACGTCTGCGCCGAAGGATATGAGCTTGTCGATCCAAACCATCTGCTGGCACGAGAGGCTATCACCGGGTCCCTTAACTTCCACGAGCTAAAATGAGACAAGGAGGAAGGTGAGGCATACAAATCTGAACGTATGGTGGTGTGGGGCAGTGCATAGACGGCACGTCCAACAAGTCGGGGAGGTGTACGCAGGACTGTGACAGGCAGTCAGTCCTGTCAACGACTGACGAGATTCGAGAGCTGGGAGGTATGCGCACGTTTGTACTTCTGTGAGAGAATCCTGTGATACCATGTGGCACGCAGCCTTTGGCGGCAACTAGAATGCACGTCCCTACTCTGATCTATCGGACCGTCGTCTTAGCTCAGTGTGCTTAATACGCTGTTCTACACGTACAGAGGCCGAAATAATGGCACCCCAACCTAAACACACTTTAGCTTGTGTATGCCTCTCGATCGTGGAACCTAAGCGCCAAGGATCTCATGCTAATCGGGAAGGGGTTTGTCTGGGCACTATCTAGTTTTACTGAGCTTTCCAATGGATCAGAGAGGCCGCATTCATCGTTGCTTCGGTCACCGTACTGCGGATGCTGTCGGGAGGTATCGGTAGTTCACCGCTAACAACGTTTCCACCGAACAATTTGAGTGCGGTCCGGCCTACACTAGCCGCGAAGCCCAGTAAGCCCAACCTTAACGGAAGGCGCGAGACTTCAGATGCTCAGTATACCGCGACTGGATTCTCCGTCCACTTAGTTCTAGTGATAGGGCCGTATGCCACAGACTTCGACACAGGGAGGGCGATTTGGTCGGGTGGATTGTAAGCCTCCGGGAAGTGTGCAGCAGTGAGAGATGAAACTGTCTCCACAAGCGGGTCATCTTTATTTAGACCAAAGAGAGTAGATTTGCGTAGGTCTTCAGTTCGCGTGGATCAGTTTGCTGACGTAAGAAGAAGGTGCAGATGGAACAAAACGTGAAAGACAAACATGGAGAAGGTAAGCGTAGATGTGAGTACCTTGGCTTTTGAGTGTGATGGACTCCACAGGCAGAGATCAGGCAGGCCCGACTGCCAGTTACGGTAGTCCGTGGCTAGGAG